AGTAGCACGTTTTTTTTCTATTCTATCGCGCGACAAATATTTTCTGATCTCGAAATTCGTTTTTTAAAAAAATATATTTTATTATTTTACAAGTTTTAGTTCATCTAACAATACATCTAACTATCAAGAGAGCTAATTAACAAGTGAATAATTCACATAAAAATGTTGTAAACCAGAATAATGAAATAAGATACGCGATAAGAGTTTCTAGGAAAAAAGTCGTTGACTCTTCAATTCCCATAAGGAACGTTGACGTAATTCGCGTATTCATACACAGTAATATTTTGTTCTTTAAAAACCGACAACCGGTATTCAAGACAGATTTTTCGCAAACAACCTTATATCACCGTGTTCGTAATGAAATTATCTTTATTTTTACATAAGTTTTATTTATTAAACAGACGAGTGCAAATTATTAGTATCGACTTACCTGTTTATTCCTGTCTACCCAATAGTTATGACTGAAAAAAACTAGTCAACCTAACGTTTGCATATTCTATAGTCTTCATACTTTTGATTTGTATGTAATTTGTCTATTGGAACAATCAATTGCAATGTTAAAAAAAAACATTTTTATATTTTTAATTAATCATATCCTGGACTGAAATTTTTCAGTCAACCTATTCGCAATATATTACTTAACGTATTAAATTTGATATAAAATACTTTTCATCCATTAAACAGACGGGTGAAGGTCGTTCCTCTACTCGTATCTTAGACTATTAAGCGGTATTTAGATATACAAGTACTCGGCTTCGAGTTACCCCACTTGGACACAAACTCGGAAATGTAAACGTCTTCTTGTAAAGGATTCACAATTGAATAAGAGTTAGTATGAAAGTAGAGAACAAACCGAGTCTCGTCTCTAAGTATTAATTATTGAAAGTTAAAATGGCGGAAAATAAATTTTCTGCGGAGCAGGTGGACCAATTTATTGATTTTTATCGATCTTTTGAATGTTTATGGGTTATGGAATGTGAAGTGTAAAGAATATAGTGATATTAATAAAAGAAATAATGGTTATGCAAAAATGGCATTATGAATCATAAATGATTCAATAATTATTAACGTTAGGTACCATAAAACAAGTAAAATAAATAAAATACTTATACTATTGTATTTCATTTAAATATATTGTTTTCTTTCTTTTTGAAAAGCCTTAAAAATACTACATCTGCAGCAGCACATTTCTTTCTTGAGGGAGTCATTTAAAACACAAAAAGATTAAAATTTTCTCAAATGCAATAAAAAGATTAAGCTCAACTCGCAAATACAATTTGGATCAGATTACGTTTAAATCTAAATGCTGCTTTAGGCAAACTTTTTTAATTATAACAACTCATTCACATATATTTTAAATTTTTTTAGACTTAATGTTTTTAAAATGAAGGGGTTGTAGAGTTTCAAGACAATATATTTAAGAGAGTTTTCAAACTTGGATGTTAAATATTTTGGAATCGCAAAGAGATTCGAATTTCTAGTTTGGTAATTATGGAAAAAATCTGATGTGTCCAACACATGACTTTCCTGTCTAGTTATTGCAGGATTTTTCCAGTTATTTTGTACAACTTATTGTATCACCCTTGTAAATGTTTAGAGATTGAACTAACTATTCATGGTCAATGAAAATACTGAAAAATTAAAATTTTACACTTTTCCTCAATTTTTTTACATTAGTGTCTATTTTAGAGAAATCATGTATAGAACAAAAATTATAGAGAATGATATCGCAAACAATCTCTATTTGAACAATTTTCATTAAAATTCGAATTTTGAACTTTTTTTCAAATTTCTCGAATATGGACCATTTTAGGAAAATTTTGTATGTGACAAAAATTATAGAGAATAACATTATAAGCAACTTTTATTTGAAGAATTTTCTTCTCCAAGCGCAAATAACATAAAGTAGAAAAAACATCCTCCTATAAAGTATCCCCCAGATGTTCCGGCTATGCTCAAAATCTAATCAGCTCACCAGAGGATGTATTAAAGCTTAAGTTTAAAATTTGGTGTTTTTCTCTATATCCGTTCATGAGTTATCGAGTATACAAATACATAGCCTTCATCGCCAAAATAGTCATAACGGATTCAGGGGACCCCAAAACTCGAGGTCGAAAAAATCATCATTCATATACTTACCTTATCTGTATATAGACAGGATAGTAAAAAGACAGTTTACAACATTTTATATTATGAAAATGAGTACAGGTTCCTAATCACAAAAAAAATTGTTGATGAGGGATTTTTAAAGACTGAATTCGTTTTAAAAATTTAACTATGCTATGTTAAGTTGAAAAACAAAGGTGTTAAATAAAATGAAAATCGTCAATTATTTCGGTTTTGCCCAAATATCTCACAAAGTGTACCTGATATTTTAATTTTGAAAAACCAATAAATTTATCTTGATATTATGCATCTTTTTTTTTAACAATATTAACTTAATATCTATTAGAGTCCAAAACATTCTAAAATATGTAGATCTGTAAAATGATCTGTCATAGTAGAGATACTTTAATAAGACCTGTCAAACTGTCTTTCTAGTCTCCTAACACCTACCATCATGCCTTCCTGCTTCGCATGTCGGTAACTCAGAACATGACATTTGTTTCAACTTTGCATTTTAGTAACTGTCAAAATTTAACATTTCTTTCAGCTTCTCATGTCAGAATTTAACGGATGACTTTAGTTTCAACTTTGCCAATCGGAATTTAACGGATGACATTAGTTTTAACTGTCAAAATTTGACGTTAGATAGTTGTTTCAGCTTCGCATATCTGTAACTGTGAGAATTTGCTATTTGTTTTGGATTCGCACGTCAGTAACTGTCAGAGTTTGACGTTTAATATTTGTTTCAGCTTCGCATGTCTGTAACTGTCAGAACTTGCTATTTGTTTTGGACTCGCACATCAGTAACTGTCAGAATTTGACATTTGTTTCAGCTTTGCAAGTCGGTTTTGACATTTGTTTCAGCTTTGCAAGTCGGTAACTCTCAAAATTTGACGTTCGCTATTTTATTTTAGCGTCACAGTTCGGAAACTACCAGAATTTGACATTTGTTTCAGATTTGCATCAAAATGTAATGTTCACATTTGTGCTGTCCGTAAATGTCAGAATGTATCATTTGTCAGTTGTTTCAACTTCAATACTAGTAACTGTCATATTTTGACATTTTTTTCGGAATCGCAAATCGATAGCTGTCAAAATTAAAATGGTCGTTTGTCATTTGTTTCAACTTTGCACATCATTAACTGTCATAATTTGTTTTTCTCATATCGGCAACAATCAAAATTTGACGTTTGACATTTATTTCAGTTTCGCCCGTCAGTAAGTCACAATAGGCGTTTTCTAATATTCAACAAAATGATTTACTGACTATAGATCACGTGACAAATAAATGGCCGACTGCTGTAATCCTTTTTTAACACGCTTATATTAGCTTCACATGTATGTATGTATGTATGTTTGTAACTCTCCTTTGGACTCAAGTGACTTACTACTGTCAGTATATCCCACTAACTTAAGTTCGTTCGTGGACGAGCGGTCTAAGGTGCGGGTTTTCGATTGCCAGACTCACCGATCGTGGGTTCTAATCCCCACGGCTGACAAAAAAATATTTTTTTTAGCAATTTCAACTTACAATTTTTTTTTTAATAATTAATCGAACTAAAAATTAAAAAAAAATATAGTTTAAAAAAACTGAAAAACACGCTTTTATAATTCGAACTAAAAAGTGAAAAATAAATATATTTTAAAAAACTAAAAAACACACTTTTAGAGCATATCAAACTAAAAAGTTAAAAATATTTTTTTTAACATGCTTTTATTCAAATAAGCTTAAAACAATAATAAATGGAAAATACTAGTATTATTGTGAAAAAAGCGTGGGGCGTTATGTCCATATTTTTCGTACATCGAGCGCCCGACGCTTTTTTCACAATAATACTAGTATTTTCCATTTATTATTGTTTTAAGCTTATTTGAAAAATTATTTTTAACTTTTTAGTTTGATATGTTCTAAAAGCGGGTTTTTTAGTTTTTTAAACTATATTTATTTATCTGATAAAAATTACATAAGAACAACATTTGAGATTTTAAACTCTTCACTGTCAAACTGTCTATATTTAATGAAAACTAACAACAAAGCACTTTTCTGATAAACATAAAAACTAAATACGAGTATGGGAAATATTATTGAAAAAATATGTACTTGCCTTCATTTGCTTGCTGTATATCTAAGGCTGATAATCTTATTTAGCCCACTTCGAGATTGGGTTAATAAAATCCAATGAGTTTGTTTATTCATATTATTGAGAATTTTGAGCGAACTCTTCCTATTTCCTTATCTGTTTAATAATAATTAATAATTTAAGGTTGTGTTACGTGATCAGTACATCAATATCAGTACATCAATATCAGTACATCAATATCAGTACATCAATATCAGTACATCAATGTCAGTACATCAACACAATTGAGTCTATGGATTCGGTGATGGATAAAAGAACAGTTTTGATGAATGTTAGATGGGCATCGATCAATATTAGAAAACCCCTCGTGTGTCTTTTGTTTCAACTTCATGTATCAGTTATTGTCATAATTTGACATTTGTTTTAGTCTCACATATCAGTAACTGTTAGAATTTAACTATTTACCTTTGTTTCACCTCCGCATATTGGTTACTGGCAAAAATTCTGCTGTTATGAGAAGTTTTTATATTAACCACTTTAGGTATCACAGGATATGAATGTCTTTGTTTTTTAGTATATTGGTATCAATTTCTCTCTCACTTCTAATTAGTCTGATGATCTACAAGGATCTCGCAACTCCGCATTCATTTTCACCATTAACTTTCTCCCCCCTTGGCTTTCACGTTCTTTTAAGAATGCCATTTTTTTTGGAAAGTGGAAATCAAGTGAATATATTTCAAATAAATGTAAAATTATTTGATGTAAATTCGTCGAGAAATCCGATGAGTAAAATTTTATTTATTTCTTTTTTAGTGAAGATACGGTTACGTTAGGTAGCCGCTTTTCCAAATCGTCGACGGAACGGGAGAAGATCCTTCACAAACGGAAGGAGCACATGATACAACAGGCCAGGAAACGGTACATCGAAAAGCAGAAGGCTGCTGCAACCGCCGTCAGATGCGAATTACAAAGTTGAAGAGAGATACGGCACGACAGCGAAGTAAGAATATCCAAAATAACAAAATAAAAAATGCATACATTTATTGGAAAACAAAAAAAAAAAAACAAAAAATGATACAATTGAGACGTTGCTAAATACAATGGTTTGTATCATTATTGGATTGGGATTTTCAGCTATCAGCTGATGTTTGGAAAAATGGTTGTAATTGTCGATTTGTTTATAGGGTGGTTACGGAATGTTTATCCTAATGAAAAACGACATTTTTAGTTAATACTAATTTTGTTTAACAACAAATTAGATCTTTTTGTATCAAATTGAGCTATGGCAGTGATTTGGACCACTTTATTATTGTTCTTTCAATTAAGGGTGTGATGTAAGCGGGAGTAGTTCAAATTTATCATCCTGAAAAATATCATAGTTACCCAAGATACAATTTTTTACTTATTTTTACCAACCGCTATTAAAATGTGAGACACTTGCTAAAAAATTGTTCCTTATTTTTTGTTTCAAAGTGAGTTTTGATATTTATTTTGACCATTTCGTCTGGTAGATCGTGTAAGAGAAGGTAGTTCAAATATATTCTATTAAAAAATTTATTTTAATTTATTAAGAATCATGTTTATACCAATTTTTACCAAAAACTCGAAAAGTAAAAGGCAGTCGCTCTAAGTTCCGATAGAGATGGGTGTCAGAAATCAAATTATTTTATTTAATTTCTCATTGAGTTTTGACATGATTTCGGCCTCTATATCATCCTTCCATGTGAGAGTGAAATGTAAGTGAGTGTAATTTAAACATGCCGTCCCAAAAATATCTCCTCACAATGCAGTTTCCACATAGTTTGATACACATTTATTAAAATGCATCTATCTGCTTCAAATTGGTTGTTTATTTTTATTTCATTTAATGGAGTTATGATGCTTATTTTGATCTTTTCAATGTCATTGAACTACTTATGGATTCTGATAGATCTTAATAGTAGTTCAAAAATAAAAAGTGATTTGAAACGCAGTTTCTTCCAGTTTTGATAGAAAACTATAAAAATGAGAGGTGTATCAACTAAATATATACCATTTTTCTATATTTTTTGTTTCAACGTAACTTCTAATAGTATGTTTTGACATCTTTATGGTCTTTTCCTTCCTATCAAATCATATAAGCAATTCATTTTGAGTTTAGAAATGCAGTTTCTACCAAATTTAACCAAGAACTATAAAAAAGAACAATAAAATGTATTTGCTTGTCTTACAACTATTTTTGAGATATAATTCAGGATATTTTTATCCTTTAGGCTACCCAGATTTCAAGCGAGGCAGCACTACAGACCTGATAATTTATTTTACTATCACTTAAGAGTTCTAATGTGTACTCATTGACTTGTAGGTATCAGGAATTTAAATAAGAGTTAAAATTTACCGAAACTACAAAAAGCAAATTACCGTTCTTTTTCCTCTGCTCGTCTTTTACAAATCTAATTTATATCGTCCAGCTCTGTTAACTGTCAGACATCAACGTCGCTCAAATATTAAAGAATTAATAGCTGTTAAGTAGTATATAACTAGAGAAGTACGATTTGAAATTTAGTGGCCACCTTATAAATAATATATAGAAAAATCAGAGAGATTATGAGATTTGACTTATTAATAATTGAATTAATTAGTGTTCATTGTGTTTTTTCCTCTTTTTATAGAGTTATTGAGAATTTCGTTATGATATGAATAAAAAAAAAACACTCAAGTGTCAGCTCAATTCAGAAGAGATATATCATAATAAACAAAAATATATTTTTTACTTCCTAGCCTCGGAAAAACCCGTATGTAGCCGTATAATATATTAGTAGAAGAGCGTGTATCATAATAATGTGTAAATAATTGTATTTGTTGCAGTTGTAACTTATTATTTACTAAATAAACACTTATTTTTTTAATTGCTATGAGGTTTAAGAGTCTGTTTGCGCCTATCCGTCTTCTTTCTTATCTGCATATTGCAGCTAACTTAATTTGTATGTATGTGACGTCACAGTTTAAATATTTCTGAAGGTTATTATTTGACTATCTACGGTTATGTAATTTTGTAGTGGAAAATGTGGAAACTGACTCTTGAACATCGGTTATGTTTTAAAAACGCCTAATTTATGATCTCTGAATATGGTCAGATGTCGAATTTGCCAGGACGATCGTCTGCTTATAATATTTTCTAATTCCTACCTCTGAATCAATTTTTATTTCGGTAAAAACTGCGTTTTATACAGCACGATTTATATTTCACTGAAATTGTCGGGAATAACAGAAGTCCTTTTCAACCTTTTAGATGCATTATTTTTTTTAATAGTTGTGTCATAACTCTACACGTTTCTCGGCAATTAGACAACACAATATTAAATGCAAAAAATGTTAAGTGGTGGAAGATGATACAGACTAAACTGTGAGGTTTATTGACCCAAATAGTCAGATATCTTTTACCACTACTTTTGCATTTGATCGACGCGATGTAAAAACGTAATTTTTACCCGAAATTCGACTTAATATAGCTCTAATTATTGGACACTGGCCAAATTGATGCTTATGAACTTATTTTACAACTGACGTATACACTAGGAATTTAAAATAAACTACCTATACTTATATATACCTAAACTATGATATATTTTTATATAAAGTAAGGGATAAGCATAAACGTATTACAATATTGACAAATTACGCCCACTCCATGAATTATAGTTGGTCAAGATCAGGCGATCTTGGTGGCTGTGGACGTACAAAATGTCCAATTAAAACAATCGGCTTAATTTGTCAAAGGTAGATGCAAGCCAAGGACTATAGACGTTAGTATATAATCCTTAGATGAGAACATGTCCCTTACTCTATACTAACCCACCATATTTCTTAAGTCTGTTTTTTTTTTGTAGTAGATTTAGTAATTTAAAGCAATTGTGATAGACTTTGAGATTTCTTAATTATTAATGCAGTAAACGCCTGTGTACTCTTATCCTTATCGTGGTGCGAACAAATTTTTGTTTTTAATTTTATATTTTTATTTTTTGTTGATATTGTATGTTAAAGGTTGTTTGTTATTTAGATGGAATAGAACAAAAATGTTATTGAGACGAAAATGGTTTTGAAACGATTAAAAGATCCTGTCATTCTGGTTTAAGCAACACTACAGATATCTAGAGTCGTTCTCTTAGAGTGACTGTCAGTTTCAGATCGCTAAATTCTGTTATTTAAATCAAAAAGTCATTACAGATATTTTTACTAATCATTAACAAAATTACTTAGTCAACCAGGAATACCAGTCACCTATTCATACACAGGATAAGCATTAGATATTTTTTGGCTTTTCGCAATTTTGTTGCTTTGAAATATTATTGTAATGGTTTTTAAGAGCTTTTCAACGCTGAGAACGACTCTTGTGTCAGATGAAGCCGATACAATATTTTGATTTGATGGTATTAAAATAGCAATGATTGGGCTAATAAGATATTTAGGTTTTTTTATTAATGTGGGGTTGTTAAATTGTTGAATGGTAAATAATTTTTATTTTTTCAAAATGATAAAAACTTGGATTTTTGTATATTCTTCCTCACCGAATAAAAAGAATGCAATGGAAAGTTACTTTACATGTTCATTAAATTTATTCAAAAATTGATATATACCTATATAATATATACATTTATTATCCATTCGTGCTTATTTGCAATAACGTATATTAAACATTTTGACAGTCGATATCAAATTTGCAATCTATTTTGACACTGGCTGTCAATGTCGTAATCCTTTAAACTTTTACATAAATGATGAGCAAAAGTTATCAATATAATTAATGAACATGTTAAACAGCAATGTAAGTAGACGCTATACTTGGTCTTACAAAAAATTATTTCACATTGTCATTTTAAATTTTCAATTTAAAACTGTTTAATAGCCAATTAAAGAAATTTAATTTGCAACAAATGAGCATTTTGACGCTGGCTGTCGATGTCAAAAGCAGTTGTTGCATTGTCAGCTCAAATTGAGAAGAGTACCTACATACAATTTTATAGAACAACTATACTGCAAATGGGCGACGAATGGATTTTAAGAGCGCAATTAATAATTAATACTTAGTTGATTAGTTTTTTCTCTGACGTGTTACAAAAATATTATGGAAAAAGAATTCTTGTTGTTGTTACAAACCCTTTCTTATATTATAAATGTAAACGAGATAGACCCATTTTTTGTATTAGACATTTCTAGAATGACTAGATACAATTTTTCGATATAGGAAAAACGTAATTGCCATGCAAATCTATGTGTGCCAGATACTGACGGCCAAATTTGTGTATCTTGTATATTCTTTAGCTTTAATTACCTACCTTTAATGTGCTACAAAATTGTAGATATATAAATATTAAATATACATAATTAATGATTGCAAAGTTTTATTTCTTCTCCCCTCAAGGATCCGACTCAAGGCCCTTACTTTTCCTTCCTTAATTTATTAATGATACTTTAAAAATTGTAATATGAGAAAGGAGACGCAGCTTTTTTAAAGGCGTTGGCATGACAAAGACAAACTTATTCTGGAAAATAATTTCAAAGTCTTCTGATGTGAAGCTCTCTGAAAGATATTGGTCAAATACATTTTTTTAGTTATATATTGTATTAAAAAATCAATAAATCATAGTAAAAAATTTTATTCAATGGTGATCATATTACACTTTTAAAAATGTATAATTTATAAAAAATAGGACTTTAAAAATGTTGTACACCTTCTTAACAAAAGTGACTAGATGTTAAGTACAAATTTACTTACTAGATAATATAAACAAATGTGGCACTCTTTTTTAACCTAAAATAAGCATTGTAAGGAATAAAAAAAACTTGAAAGAAACAAAAATAAATAAGTTAAAAAAAAATTATATCAGTCAAATTGACCTAATCAAAAAAAAAGAAAATAAACCATTAACTAAATTTTCTTCACTTAATGCCAAAAAAATAGTTATCGAGTATTAACACCTGTCATTCTTTATAGAGGGGTTTAAATCAACAAAATATTGATGTGCCATTGCATCATCTGCAGACATTCTACCCATTGGATTGCAGACTAACAACTTTTGAAGCAAATCTCGCCCTCTGTTTCCTAATTTAGGTACTACCTGAAAATTACATGAAAATTCAAATAAAAAATACCTGGAAAACCAGACTATATATCAATTCAATTATAGAAGTTTCATATTGTTATAACAAGACAATATAACTATTTTGAATACCTGTGACATGCTCATATTGGGCTGGTACATGGGAAATGGTTTATAATCTGGTAATTGGGTCATACCAGTCCATGTTTCTTCAGTAGGTGTACCCAATAATTTAAAGATTCGTCTTAATTGATCATCTACATCTGATCCAGGGAATAATGGTCGGCCTATAACAAAATATAAATTCATTTTTGTACAACTGAATTATGGAAAGACATTAAATATAATTGAGTTGAGTACCTGCATTTGCTAATTCTGCAAAAATACAGCCAGCTGACCACATATCAATAGAAGTAGTATACAGTTTAGCTCCATATAAGACATCAGGAGGCCTGTACCACAATGTAACCACCTCAGCTGAATAGCACTTCACTGGAATACCAAAAGCTCTAGCCAAACCAAAATCCGCCAATTTTAATTCGCCGTTCTTATTAATTAACAAATTTTGGGGTTTCAAATCCCTATGTAACACGTTATGGCTGTGACAAAACGCCAATCCTCTAAGCAATTGGTACATAAACGATTTGACCACATCTAAATCTATGTCTCCGTTTAAACTATCAAAGTACTTTTTCAAATCTTGATCACAGTGTTCAAAGACGAGCGTAAGTTTTTTGTCGCTATGTAACACGTCGTACAGCCGAACGATGTTTTTGTGTTTGAGTTCTTTTAATAAACATATTTCTCGCAATGCTGAAGATGGGACTCCCTCGTCGTCGTCGTCTAGCCGTACTCGTTTTAATGCGACTATTTCGAGGGTCTCTCTGTTTTTTGCTTTAAACACGGTTCCGTATGTCCCTTCGCCTATTTTTTCGAGTTTCTCGTATTTTTGCATGATTTATTTTTCAATATAAACAAATAGACGTCAACTAGTTTGACGTAAAGAATTTACAGTGTTGTCGGTTTCCTTACTAACATTCGTACTAAATCTCAAATCAAAATGTAATAAACGTAAACTGTAGTAAATCGCATAATTTGTTAATGAAATACAGCAAAAATCTTTGTTGCTTTTTTAGGCAATAAATAATGCCGTTTTTTCGGCTACTTTTTAATAACGCTACTACTGCGGTACTGTCTAGCTGTTTTTAAAATAGAAGGATACATCTCCTTCGGTTATGTATGGGTTATATTTGCTTTGTGCACCACTTTATAAACCCACAATTAATAAGAACCCAACCGTGAATGGTCCAGTGAGGACTCCTGTACATCAGAATTAATTTTCAATTAATTAAATTCATTAACAAAAATAATTGCCCTGGTGGGATACGAACCCCGGGCTCTTGAATTAGAAAATCCAGGCTCTTATCAGTTTAATCACTGAGCCACTCGTTCCCCGGATACATCTCTTAGGGCCGATTCCACCGTTGTGTTAAACGGAGATTAAAATGACATTGTCAGGGTCGATTCCACCGTTGTGTTAAACGGAGATTAAAATGACATTGTCAGGGTCGATTCTACCGTTGTGTTAAACTGAGATTAAAATGACATTGTTAATGTAAAAATGTCATTTTAAACTTCGTTTAATACAACGGTGGAATCGGTCCTTGGTCCATATTGACCATGGAGAGTTAGATTTTGTACTACACCTCTTTTTTCATGGTATGGGTATATTAAGTTAGGTTCGTATTATGGTACGTCTATATTTTAAAAAATAATCAGATTCAAGAAGTTCTGTTTTTCTTCAACTGGCTTGATGTACCTGGAAATCTAAGGACCGATTCCACCGTTGTGTTAAACGAAGTTTAAAATGACATTTTTACATTAACAATGTCATTTTAATCTCTGTTTAACATAACGGTGGAATCGGCCACCAGTTTAAGCACAAACCACGAAGAAAAGTAGCTAGAAATCACAAGATGCTCGAGTAGGTATAGCAGAATTTCTAGTTATTTTTTATAAAAAGTTCTACATACCTATAACTTAGTGTACATGTAAATAAAAAGTATAAACGTTCCAGTTATAGTAAGCGAATTAAACGAAAGTACTTTTCATCAGTGTTTCATTTTCCTAGACAAAGTGTATTTTGAGGTAATTTTATTACATATAGTTAATTCACCTGGACCGGCCTTAGCCGATGATATTTACCAGGACAAACCTAGCGCCCCCCCCCCTCTCGCGGATGTTCATAGTGAATTTGCGACATAAAATTCGCAGAGAAATAGTACGATAAAATTAATTCACGCTAAAACGGATCTTCTGTATAAACAGTATTCAGCGGCTCGAATTTTCGCAGCCGTCGTAAGCATAGGATCCGCCACACGACGGCAAGCGGGGAGCAGTCCACCCTGGGTTTGTGAATTTGGATTTTTCGCCGATGTGTTTCAACTATTTCATGCGGCGTTTTAAACGGTGCCCATACTCGTGGGATTTAAGCATGATTTAAACGTTGGTCTAGGGGAGCCTAATATGGGTTGTCTCTGTGTTAATGATACGACAGTTGGTTGAACAATGGTTTATTAGTCATGTGTATGACTTGACATCTGACAAGGGTACGTTCCGTTACATCTCCCCTTTTCAGATATAACATATTATATTACAGTTATACTAATATCACAGACAAAACTAAACTAAAACTAAATAAGTATATACAATCTTGTACCACAAACATTTAATAAATGTCTAACATCTTTACTACATATAGAACATAGTTTTGTGATATAACTTAATTATTTGTATAACATAACTTTAATACCTGTATAACATAACTTTATTATTTGTATAACATAACTTTAATACCTGTATAACAAAACAATTACAAAGTTTATACACACAAGCTATTAGTTATTTATAAACCCTTTCATTATCAGCTCTTGCCTTCCTTTTTTTTTTTTTTTTTTTAATTTAATTTATTACTCTTATTATGTAATAAGGGTACTTACGTAATATCATCATCTTTGACCTACTGAATCTCAGTTACAAACATATTTAATCATCGAATTTTGATGGTTTTTTTATTGATCTTCCATATCTATTTACATAATTTTCATTAACTATACTCGGGTCCGTTGAATTACTATAGCTACTATTAGAACTTTGAAATTCAAATTCAAATTGGTCATAATTCTTTACAACATTTTTATAATCTAAACAATTCTCAAAAGATTCGTCACTACTACTACTACTACTATTAGCTTTCACACTGTCGCTATTATTTTCATTATTTTCAATTGTAACAACATTCGAATGATCTAAGTCTTGATTATTTTGTAAAGTACTTGTATTATTTAAATTTAGAAAACAGTATTCACTTAGATTTTGACCAAAAACTGTATTATTATTATTATTATTTGAAAAATTATTTGTATGTGACTGATTATTAGAATGTTTCTTACTTTTGAAATCTTTATATGGTTTAATAAATCTCCTATTTCTTATATAACACTTTCCATTTACATCAACCTGGTAAGCTCTGTCATTTAATACTTTTTTAACTTCACCTTCCTGCCACATACCTCTGGGCATTATTTGAACCATAACTCTCTCATCTCTATCTAATTTTCTCAAATTTCTTGTTCCTTGCCTATCATAATAATGTTTTTGTTTCTCTTGAGAAATTTTAAGAAAATTATTATATTGAGCACTATTATATAATTTTGACTTTAAATTTTTATTAGTTTGAGGTAACAATGACCTTAAATTTCGACACATGAGTATATTGGCAGGACTGTGAGTTCCGTCTATTGGTGAAATTCTTAAATCTAACAATGCTAAATAAGGGTCTTTCTTGTCTAGTATGCATTTTCGTAAAATACTTTTAGTCGTTTGTATAGCTCTTTCTACAGCTCCGTTACTTTGCGGATATCTGGGTGTGCTTTTTATGTGCTGAAATTCCCACTCGTTAGAAAACTTGGAGAACTCATAACTAGAAAACTCTCCTCCACCATCAGACATAAAAACTCTAGGTATACCAAAACGTGAAAAACAAGCTTTAAGTTTATTAATTACGTTCTGACTAGAAAGATCCCCATTTAAATTAGTAACATCCACATATTTGGAATAATAATCTATAACTAACAAATACGACTCATTAAACAAATGATAAACATCAGCTGCAACTTTGTTAAATGGTATATCAGGTATCTCGTGGGATATCATGGGCTCATGTATTTGGGTTTTTTGGTAAGTTCGACACAGATAGCAAGATGTTACTAAATCTTCTATTTGTTTGCTCATACTTGGCCAAAAAAAAGAAACACGAGCTTTAGCAGTACATTTATTCCTGCCTAGATGTCCATAATGTATTTTTTCTAAAATATGTTGCCTACTTTTTTTTGGAACTATCAACTTCTGCCCCTTGTACACAAGACCATTAATGACATTGATTTCACCTCGAAATTTATAATAAAACTTTAAATTGTTTGGAATTTCACCATAATTTGGCCACTCTTTTTTAACATATTGCATTAATAAGCTAAGTTCTTCATCTTCTTTTGTATTATTTTTGAGCTCCTCAATTCTTTCATCAGTTGCATTTAATTGCATGGAAATTAAACAGACTTGTGCATCTATTTCTAGATCTAAATTTTCATCAAATATTTTATTTTCAAATGCTCTACTTAGAGTATCGGCTAATATTAATTCTTTCCCCGGTTTAAATACCAATTCAAAGTCGTATTTTCTTAATTGTATTAATATACGTTGCAGTCTCGCAGGACAGTCATTAAGAGGTTTTTTTATAATATGAATTAAAGGGCGATGGTCGGTTTCTACTATAAAATGTTTACCATATACAAATTGAGAGAATTTTTCTATACCAAATTGAACACCAACTAATTCTTTTTCTATTTGACTATAGTTTTCTTGAGCCTGTGTAAAAGATCGGGAAGCAAATGCACAAGGCTTGCCCTCTTGAATCAAAACAGCACCCATTCCTTTTTTACTAGCATCTACTGAAATTGTAGTTAATTTGTTTACATCATAAAATTGTAAAAAATGACTATCACAAACCATCTCTTTAATTTTTTCAAATGCTGTCTGATGATTATTATCCCACACGAAAAGAACATCTTTTTTAAGTAAAACTCTTAAAGGTGCAGTTAGTTCCGACAAATTTTTAATAAATTTATTTATGTATGTAATACAACCAAGAAATCTTTGTAAGTCAGTTTTATTTTCAGGTCTAGGCATATTTTTTATAGCCTCTACCTTAGAACCATCTGGCTGTAAGCCCAATTCAGAAATTTCATGACCCATATATTTTACCTTATTAACTAAAAATTGACATTTACTTTTATTAAATTTAATATTGTAAGAAGAAGCTGTATCTAACACCTTTTTTAAAATTATATTATGTTTTTGAGGTGTATCAGCATAAATAATTATATCATCTGAATAAATGCTACAACCCTCCATATTTCCAAAGATTTCAGTCATATATTGCTGAAACACTTCAGGACTACTTGACAATCCATAAGGCATACGTAACCAGCAATATCTCCCCCAAGGTGTACCAAAAGTTGTTATTTTTGTGCTTTCTTTATCTAAAGGAACTTGCAAAAATCCTTGTGTTGCATCAAGGGTAGTAAAATATTTTGCTCCGGAAAATTTAATAGTTAATTCTTCAAGAGTAGGTATTTTAAAATAATGTCGTTTAACCCACTTATTTACTTCTATAGGGTCTAAGCAAATTCTTAAGTCCCCATTAGGTTTTCTCACTATTACAAAAGGATTAACCCACTCTGTACTTTCATTTACTTTCTTAATAATTTTTTGTTTTTCTAACCCACTTAAAACATTTTTTAATTTTGCTTGAAGAGCAAAAGGTATTTTACGAATTGGATGGACTTTAGGAATTGCTCCATCTTTGAGTTCAATTTTATACGGCTTCTTTAGACAGCCTATACCTTGAAAGATGAATTCATTTTTCTTTAATAAACAGTTAAGTTCTTCACTAAATTTCTTTATACAAACTGTTTTATCAACATTGTCTACTCTTTTTATTAGATCCAAATCTATACAAGTTTTTAAACCCAAAATTGGTACACTATTTTCTAAATCAACAATGAAAAAAGTAATTAAAAAAGTATTCTTTTTATAGTGACATTCCAAATCAACTTTTCCCAAAATTGGTAATGAATCTTGTGTATAGGAACACAAATTGACAGTAGTTTTAACTATTTTTGTAGGATTTATGTTAATTTTATACAATAAATTAACAGGGATAACATTTACCATTGCTCCTGTGTCTAGCTTAAAGTTGATCATATTTCCCTTCTCTAGATTCAATGTTGTTGACCACACCGACTCCCCAGAAGTTCCTGAGATACCATTTATTTGAGTAGGCTGATTCAGTGGTAAAACTACTTGATTTGTGACCTCCACTGTATCTATAAACAGAAAATTATCTTGAGAATCTGAGCTAGTATCACAAAAATTATTATCTATAAAATGAACATTTTTTTTTATTTTGAAAATATCTACCATTATTTTGAAAAGAATTTTTCATAAATTTTTGATCTTTTGGTTGATTGTTGAATGCATTATTTCTTTTATTCTTATACTGAAAATTACGAGATTTACTTGCAAAATTAGAAGAAAATTTACAAACTGAGCTAAAATGATTAAATTTGTTACATAACTTGCATATTTTTCCTTTGGCAGGGCAGAGCTGTTGGCTCTCATGCTCATAGTTGCACCTCGAACACCTCTGTCTCGGCCGACTTCTGGACTCCTCTGAAACTCTCACGGCTGGTTTCCTTTGTATGGCATACACATTTGCTGCTGTATCACCTTGTCCATTACTTATCACCTTGTTTCGCTGCCTCGTACTCTCTGAACTGATGCACAGCTTTGTTAGATCCTCTAAGGTTTTGATTTGTTCTGATAACAATATCTTCTCTCGTAATGACTCTGAACTTATACCGCATGTTATTATATCTTTGACTAAAGAATTTTCCAAAATCTCTAACTCACATGAAAGTGCTAAGTTTTTCACTTCAACTATATAATTTTCTATTGTTTGTCCTTCTTTCTGCTTACACTTTAATAATTTATACCTTTCAAATGCTAAATTTCGCTTCAGGTTGAAATGGTCATCAAATTTTTCTATCAATTTTTCGAATTTGTCTACTTCATTTTCTTCAAACTTAAATGTGTTGTATATTCTTATACCTTCTTCACCTACGAATGTTAACAACTGTGCACATTTTGTCGCTTCCGGTTTTTTGTCCATTTCGGTAGCCTTTAAAAAAGTTAGGAACCTTTGCTTCCAGAAACGCCAATTTTCCGACAAGTTTCCCGAAAATACCATTGGGTGGATGCCTTTAAACTCCATTTCGATTGAATTATTGAATTTATATCGCAAAAAGTAATATGATTATTACAATAATTTAAAAACTTTTTCTTCATTCGCCAGTTCGCAGCGCCATGTGTTAATGATACGACAGTTGGTTGAACAATGGTTTATTAGTCATGTGTATGACTTGACATCTGACAAGGGTACGTTCCGTTACAGTCTCTGTTAATATGGACCTTCATGTGGTTTGCCAAGGTGTACCATTAAACATTAAACTGTCTGGTACAGGATAGGGATTCTTATGTGCGAACTCAACACGTTATATATATTGAATATATATATATATATATATATTGAATAGAGAGAGACATTACATAATCGAATTCTATCGTACGAAGACAGAGGTCTTCAACACGTGCCGTATAGAAAGATGAGAATCCCACTCTAATTCAGTGAGTTGTACTAATGGAGAGATATATTCAACAATGAAGTAGTTCTTTTGCCGCGTTTGAGAATCCACATCGGATATGCATCTGAGATGTAGTAAATCTTTGATCACGTGATTCAGTATACGTAAATGTAATGGGACAGATGTGTCCGATGTGGATAAAAAAACGCTCGAGATGTAAAAAATGAATCCGATGTGGATTCTGGTGGATTCTCAAACGCGGCATTTGATATCTAGTAAAGTTTATTGAATGTACTAGATCTGCATATTATTATTTACGAACTCTGACAACGTTGCTTACTAGTCACTGCTGCCAACTGAAAACCCTCTTGCCAATGTCAAATCATTTTATGGTTCTTGAATTCGGAACATGAAACTTTGGAGAACGAATCTTCCTCTATGGAACGAATGAGGTGAACGCACGCGACTATTGTCAAATGTCACATTTATCATCAAAAAGCTAAAAGCTACGTCACTTTGTCAGATTAACGATCGTCAGCATTTTGCTTTTAGAAAGAAAAAGTAAAATATTTTTTTAATAAGTGTATCATTTTCTTTGTGAACTGGCTAGCGAATAAGAATTTCTGTGTTAATTGCATATTCATTTTACAAATATGGCTGATACTAAAAGGTAAGTTAATGTATTTTTGTGTGTATATCGTTGCCGGTTTGCTTCGATTTCAAATGGAAATCTACAATGTCATCATGGTGGATTCGGAAATTTCTATTTTTATTATATATATTTTTTTTATTTTTACCGACTCCTTTAAAGGAGTTTATTGATTATCAATGTGTAAAATACAAAATTTTATGCCTTTCTTTGTCACAAATCACCTCTTATGTGTCTATAAAAAATATTTGATTTTTAAAATATTCTATTATTTATAGCCCCGATGATTTAGCTACAGCGATTCTCCGTAAAAAGGATCGTCCAAATAGGCTTTTAGTAGAAGAGGCTGTAAATGATGATAACTCAGTTGTTGCTTTATCACAAGCGAAAATGGACGAGTTGCAGCTCTTCAGAGGCGATACAGTACTGCTGAAAGGCAAACGTAGGAAAGAAACTGTCTGTATAGTACTATCAGATGAAACTTGTAGCGATGAAAAAATTCGCATGAACAGAAATGTTAGAAATAATTTAAGAGTTAGATTATCTGATGTCGTCTCAATTCAACCTTGCCCAGATGTTAAGTATGGTAAAAGAATCCACGTTCTTCCCATAGATGATACTGTTGAAGGGCTTACTGGGTAAGAAAGTTCTCTACAATTAACATTTAATTGGTTTACAAAATCATGCAAAGTTGCTTAGTACAAAGGTTAAATATTACAAGCTTATTAAATCTTAGTTATTTTGAAATTGGCAACAAGTCACACAACAGGAAGTTGACTTTTTAAGGTTGTTTATCTTTTTAAATTGTTTATCTTATCAACAATTCTGTGAATCCCAGGAATGTTTGTAATTTCAAATGAAACTGTTTGTTTATAATAAAGTGCTTAGTCATGTTTTTTCACTAAATCCCAAATGAGTTAATATTGACAAAAATACAGGGTTGGAAAAACCTAATAATTAAAAATATATATATAAGTAAAAGGTTATTTAATGTTTTATAGGTTTTTAGTTTATATCTGTCAATCTATATAACTGTATCCTTGACCCTGTCAAATCAGGAGGCACCCACATGCAGCCATTTTGTTTGGAATGACTAATATCAAGAAGTGCTATGACCTTTGATGAAATGTTTGCAATTGTTTTTCTATACACTTATTTTTGAACCTTTTTCCGGAGAGTTGATTAGTAAAATTGTGAATTCTTAATTTATCTTTAAAAACCTGTACCTGCCAACACTATAAAAACAAATAAATATTAGACCTCCATAAAACATCATTAGTTTGTAATACAATTGATTAATTTTGTAGTTTTTGGGTAAATTTGGTTAATATAGTATACACGAAAAACAAAATAAGTACCCAAAGACCATTTGGTTTTTCACTTAAAATTTCAACCAACTTATACTAATTTCTCACAGATAATACTTATATGATATGGTTATCAAATTTTAACTTATCAATATAAAAATCAAAAATGAATTTTCTCTCAGTAAGTATGTATTGTTTGTTTTACCAGTATACTTAATTTGATTTAATTCACATTTAATTTTAGCAACATTAAATTTCAGGTAATTTTCTTCAAATCATTACTTTACTAATGGTATAATCAGCAAAAATTGTAAAATGTTCTTTAATTCCAAGACTAACAAATTAAAAAGAACTGATACTAATTTGAACCCTGTGGGACACCACAATGTACCAAAGGTTAAGATCATGCCTTTTATCATAGATATAGAAAGATGAGATATGAAATGTCATTTGCATCAGGCACATACAATACACTAAATTTTATAAATATATTCCTAAAGATAGTAGATAACATGCATCCGAATATATAAAATTCAGTTACCAATTACATACCTTTAATTTTTTTTATGACCTGTTAACAATTAGGCATTCCAAACAAATGAATTACCAGTGGGCAGGTTTGGTATATCTAAGGGTGGCGACATATGGTGTATTCTATCTACTTTATGTAAAATCATGAATAATGGATTACATTTAAATATTTTATGTCAAACACAATAAAAATAATATCTAAAAAACCCACCTATACATTTCTTCATAAATTGGCAGGCTTGGCGGGTACTACTTCGAATAAAAATAGCGTCCAAGTTGCAAGACTATGTCGCTACCCCCTTAAATATACAAGAATTTCCCACTGGCATCTATTGTTTGACAGGTCGTTGGAATGCCTAATATTTACAAAAAAATAAAATCTGTAAAAAAGTATGTGTCAAATTTAATGTTTTTGTTAAAAGTGTGGTTAGAATTTAACTGTCAGTGGAACCAAAATTGCCTCACACTAATAGGGCCTATTGAAGGTGGCCATCTTTCCTATTGAAATGTACAGGGCAGGACTGACACATTTTAACAATTCTAAACAATTTAGGATTTAGTTGCACAAATATAACTAATAATCTTCCTATTTACAACTTCTTATCAGTTTTAAGAGATTTCTAAAAATATAAAACATCGATTACTTACCTACTTCAAAATTAATTTCAAATTAATATAAGAGTGATGCTATCCATGAACTAATATCAAGTAAAAAAATTATATAGGTGTCTGTATGGACCTTGAAAAGGCGTTTGACACTGTTTCCCAAAAACTACTTTTAAATGTTATTGAAAGCTATGAAATAAAGAGAACATTGTTAAGTCTTTAAAAACTATTTAAATGAAAGAAAACCAGTATTAAAAATATAGATTATCAATCTGATGTGCACAGTTATCCAACATGGAACAGAAATAACTTTTATATCGAAACTGCTGTTAAAAGTGCAACACAAAATTCACTATTTTTTAAAGGTCTAGACCTGTATAATGCACTCCCAGAGAAAATAAATCTGTAAATTCTATAAATATATTTAAAATCAAGGTCACAGATTATTTAATTGATGAATATTTCCCCAGAAATAGAAACAGTATTAGTTAGTTTTAATTGTATTTGTATTATCTATGTTTTGACTTGTATATATATATATATATATATATATATATATATATATATATATATATAGATTCGTCCTGCCGACTTTGTGACATCATGTCGCAAAAATGTTGCTATCTTTCTAACATCCGTCTGCGATGTGACATCCAAATTCGGATGTCACAACGTTTTTGGGGTTCAAACATCATAAAGGAGGTTTAAAAGGGAGCCAAAAAAATTTCAGCTGGATGTCATAATGCATAATTTTCAATTTTATGTATATATTTAGTTCCAGTGTATAGGTGCGAAGGTGGCGCTCGCGTCAGTTGGTTTTGTATATTTTGTATATTAAATATTTCAGTCCCTCGACTGTCTGGCATCCACCATTAAGTATATTAGAATTTACTCACTCGACTCTCTGACATCCAACATTCAGTATATTAAAACTTACTCACCCGACTATATGACATCCACCATAGAGTATATTAGAACTTTACACACTAGGTTATGTGACATCCAAAAAATTTATTTTAGATATATTTGGATTCTCATTTTAAGATCTATTTTATGTTAACACATTAACTGCCAAAAATTTTTGTTGGGTTTCGCATAGAGCCAATAAGTTTTTTAAATGCATTTACTCTCTGTGACTAATAAATATATATGCAGCTATATAATAACAAGGTGTATCAACAATGGGTGAGTGGACGATGACTGTAATTTATATTAAAATAAATTAAATTAATATAAAATAATTTAAAAAAATAAAATAAATTATAATAAATTAAAATAAATTATAATAAATTATAATAAATTAAAATAAATTATAATAAATTAAAATAAATTATAATAGATTAAAATAATTTAAAATTAAAGTAAATTAAAATGAAATAAACTAAAATAAATTAAAATAAATTAAATTAAAATAAATTAAAATAAATTAAAATAAATTAAAATAAATTAAAATAAATTAAAATAAATTAAAATAAATTAAAATAAATTAAAATAAATTAAAATAAATTAAAATAAATTAAAATAAATTAAAATAAATTAAAATAAATTAAAATAAATTAAAATAAATTAAAATAAATTAAATTAAAATAAATTAAAATAAATTAAAATAAATTAAAATAAATTAAAATAAATTAAAATAAATTAAAATAAATTAAAATAAATTAAAATAAATTAAAATAAATTAAAATAAATTAAAATAAATTAAAATAAATTAAAATAAATTAAAATAAATTAAAATAAATTAAAATAAATTAAAATAAATTAAAATAAATTAAAATAAATTAAAATAAATTAAAATAAATTAAAATAAATTAAAATAAATTAAAATAAATTAAAATAAATTAAAATAAATTAAAATAAATTAAAATAAATTAAAATAAATTAAAATAAATTAAAATAAATTAAAATAAATTAAAATAAATTAAAATAAATTAAAATAAATTAAAATAAATTAAAATAAATTAAAATAAATTAAAATAAATTAAAATAAATTAAAATAAATTAAAATAAATTAAAATAAATTAAAATAAATTAAAATAAATTAAAATAAATTAAAATAAATTAAAATAAATTAAAATAAATTAAAATAAATTAAAATAAATTAAAATAAATTAAAATAAATTAAAATAAATTAAAATAAATTAAAATAAATTAAAATAAATTAAAATAAATTAAAATAAATTAAAATAAATTAAAATAAATTAAAATAAATTAAAATAAATTAAAATAAATTAAAATAAATTAAAATGAATTAAAATAAATTAAAATAAATTAAAATAAATTAAAATAAATTAAAATAAATTAAAATAAATTAAAATAAATTAAAATAAATTAAAAAATAAATTAAAAAATAAATTAAAAAATAAAGTAAAAAATAAATTAAAAAATAAATTAAAAAATAAATTAAAAAATAAATTTAAATAAATTAAATTAAAATAAATTAAAATAAATTAAAATAAATTAAAATAAATTAAAATAAATTAAAATAAATTAAAATAAATTAAAATAAATTAAAATAAATTAAAATAAATTAAAATAAATTAAAATAAATTAAAATAAATTAAAATAAATTAAAATAAATTAAAATAAATTAAAATAAATTAAAATAAATTAAAATAAATTAAAATAAATTAAAATAAATTAAAATAAATTAAAATAAATTAAAATAAATTAAAATAAATTAAAATAAATTAAAATAAATTAAAATAAATTAAAATAAATTAAAATAAATTAAAATAAATTAAAATAAATTAAAATAAATCGTCGTTCGTGCATCGTCGGTGCCTTGCTGTTTAGAGTTATAACCTTAATAGTATGTTCAAGTAGCGATAAATATTGATGTACGCGGATTTTATTTGTCTTTTTTTATTTTAGAGTGAATTAATATAAGAAGTTTTACTTCACTCTTTTTTTAATACTTAGGTTTTTATGCTACTGATATTATTCAAAATAACTTTACTTAATGGTTCTTTCGTCATTTATAACCGAGATACAGGTAGTTTTATTAACTTTGCTAATTTCTTTCTTGTTTCATAACTTACCAACCACCCTTACATGTTATTAAAATTTGGCACATGTATTCTCTACAACTTACCATAATCTATTAAGGTATTAATAAGAAACAAAATGCAGTTCCATCTTTTCAAAAAATTTAAAAATTTGTCTATCCTTATAAGAATACACCACAAGTCGTT